CCCACCCTCAGCTCTGGGCGGGAGACAAACTCAGAGTGTGGCCAGGAAGGTCCAGGAAGCCATACTCTCAGTCCAGAAGCCCCACCCCCAGGGGAGAAGCCTAGTCCTCCACCTAAAGCCGTAGTTCAGCGCGTCTTCGGCAGTTACAACCCCAATGTCAACTGTCCGATTCCGCCAGATCCTATTGTTGGTCAGCATCTGTTAGCCAAGAAAACACCTTTCAAACGTCCAACACCTCCGTGTCTTTCAGCACAGGGGACCAAAACCCCACAAATCGGGCTTGGGGAGAAAAGAGGGATTTTCCCCATGACTCCTATCTCACCTCCTCCACCTCATCAATCCGAAGAGAGAAGTTTTTAGAAAACTGGTAAATGTCATCCATAAGCCCAAGGGGTAAGTCCTAGGAGCCAAAGGGAGAGTGACAGTGAGCACAGCAGAGCCTCTGGCCAGGGCCACACGGCGGCTTTTCAGTCAGCCAGCGCTGCCCTCCAGTGGTTGCGAAGGACACGAGCAGGGACGGAACTGGGAGACTGCTCACCTGGTGCACACCTCCTGGGCGGATGTAAGCAGCATGCATCCGAGCCCCAGACACTCGCTCGTAGAACTCAAACATCTGGATGGGACACACAGGGAATTGGGGACAAAATCCTGGACCCTAAGTCTGACCACATGGTGGTACACTCCCCTGCCCCTCACAACAGAGTCCCTAAAGACTATAACTGGCCCCTAAAAAAAGAATATAACCCAGGTTAAATAAACCTCCTCCCCTAAGTGTTCCCCCTGCGTCCTCTCTCTCGTTTCAGTCTCATTTCTCCTTCATACCTTCTCCACTTCCTCATCTCCTTCGCCATTCCTATTCTCCCGCCTTCTCATACCTTCTCCCTTTCTTCAAACATCCAGAAGAAAGGGGTCATGGCCCCAATGTCCAAGGCATGTGTGGTCACAGCCATGATGTGGTTCAACAGCCGTGTGATTTCCCCAAACAGCACTGCAGAGGGGGGAGGACAAGAAAGGGGCCAAGGACCCAGGCTGACAGCAGGCCTCGGGAGAGCCCGGGATCTGCACACTAAGCCGGGGCCCGGGAGAGGCTGGGCGTACCTCGGATCCACTGTGCCCGCGGAGGAGGCTGGATGTTCAGCAATTTCTCCACAGCCAGCGAGTAAGCCTGCTCATTGCACATCATGGACACGTAGTCCAGCCGGTCAAAGTACGGAAGGGCCTGGGAAGAGGGAGGAACCAGGTCCCCTCTCAGGGCCAGGAGCCCTCAAGGATACCTCATGCCCAACAGTGTGCTGGGCAGGGACCCTGAGTCATGTTTGCCAGGATCCTCAGTGAAAACACTCTGACCAGGAACAATTTCCAGCTCCCATGTCACATAACTGAACACAGGTCTGGGCAGCACAGACATGAGAGCTGGCATCCCAGAGCACAGCCCAGCAAAGCCTGGTGAGTTCTGAGTACTTCTTGCCTTGGTTTTTAAAATAACATATTAAATTGCAAACCAATATCATTTAATTTTAACAATGGCTATTTTAACTACTGGTTCACAAAATTCCCCAAAATTTAACAATCTGCCCTGTGACTCAGGATGACCAGGGTCCAGCACCCCACTGCCAACCGTCCTCCAGGTCATCAGTCTTAGGGGTCCCCATCCCCGGAGTTCAGACATAAGGAAGGTGGGATTTGTTTCTGGTAGGAAGGACTCCTTCTCAGAACACCAGACTCTAAGCCCAGCTGTGAGCTTCCAGGAAGGAGGCGGAGCTGAGATGCCCCTCTTGGGGACAGCCAGTTCTCGCACTGATGTCACTGTGACTGGGCAGTGCTGCAGGGTGAACTCCATGGACTCCGGGACCAAAAGCCACCACTGCCTGCAATCTCCAGGGAAAGCGCAATCTGGCTGGCTGGTTCTTCATCCGAACCCATCACCCTCTCTCAAGACCTTTCTTCGTGACTGAAAAAACTTCAGGTTCCTACCCCAGATCCAGTTCCTTTAACTCTGACCCTCACCACTTGGGTCACATAGTTCTCTTAAAAATGTCAAACTCTGTCACAGACTCCCTCCTGGTCACTCTGACTCACTGAGTATTTCGAAAGCAAGCAAACAGCTGGAAGATACAATATTCAGCTGTTAATCCTGGGGAGCTGATGTCTCTCTCCTCTGTCCCTGCCCACTAGGGACCCTGGCTTTGACATTTGAGTGCAATATAAGAGCAGGGAAACTGAGGCACTACAGGAAGGACACAGGGCAGCCAAAAGACAGCCCAAGAAAAGCTGGGAGTGCGGCTCTGGCTACAAAGCATTCCTACTGGGTAAACTGAGTCCAGATGATTCAAGTCCTGCATCCGCTGCCACAACCCTCCCTCCTCCCAACCAACACTGTCCTCACAACCTCCACAGGCGACTCCCTCACAACCCTCCACCCCTGGAGCTTTGGGGACAGCCAGCTGGCAATGCCCAGGTCCCATGCACAGGCCTCTGTGTGCCCACACCTGCAGGTAGGTCTTGTATTCAATGAGCTTCTCAGTGCCTCGGTGCAGCAGCCCGATGTGAGGGTCACACTTCCGCACCATCTCCCCACTCAGCTCCATCACCAGGCGTAACACACCATGGGCTGCTGGGTGCTGGGGCCCAAAGTTCAGGGTCAGGTTTGACACCATTGTGTCCTTCGGAGGGTCCACATCTGAGAAGTGGGAAAAGAGTTCAGAGCCAAACGGCAACTCCCTTGAGAGCCCCCAAGAGGCAGCAGGGTTAGCCTTTCCCTGCTCTCCACACTGTTAGTTTCCTAATCTCCAGGAGGACCACTGGATGGGAAAAG